TTTGAGATAGAGACTCCAAACTTGCTGTGGTTGATGATGAGACTGTCCTTTGTCAGTGTGCCAAATTTCATAACTTTCCCGCAAGCATTTCCATGAGCTGCCATAGACTTCCAGAGCCGAAGAATAAGAACTCCAACGGATACAATAGGTGCCATCGCACCTTCGATGACCATGTATTTTCTGTTTTTTTTTAGATGCCTTACAGATTTTTCAAGATAATTTATAAATAAGTTACAGTTAAGTTATTTTAATTTTAAACATTTTCTATAATTAAAAAAAAGGCTTTCTAAAAAATAGTTTAAATTGTAGTTTGACTTGGTTGTCAAAAAGCAAAAGCATCTGCCACCACAATTGTAGAATGACCCAAAGAACAAATCTCCCCAATGAACATACCACAAAACGGCATGCAAATAAGACTAACAATTACAAATGCAAACAAAACACGCCATTTATGTGGTGCATGCTTGAAAGCATATGCTACTTCTGTATGAGGCTGTGCTTGCATTTCTGTGCTTGGATATAGATATTGAGAGCAGCTACAGTTCTACCATTACAGGAACAGTTCACCTAAAAAATGAAAATGGTCATATCATGTCAAACCCATTTGTTCTTTTCAAAGAGGCATTTAGCAAAAAGTTCATGCTGCTCTATTCTATACAAGGAAAGTGAATGGGGACTGTAGTTGTCAAGCTACAAAAATGACAAAGAAACACCATAAATGTACTCAAGTTTAATCAAAATCTGAACTTTGCGAGAGAAAAAGACCCAATGTATGTCTAGCATACTCAGAAGTTTCCCCTAATGTTAGTGTATGAATTCCCTTGTGGTTATTTATTTGGCAAACCATTCCTAATGTTCTAAGAACATAGGTTTATTTTTAATAACAATATACATAGTTCTAGAACGTCCAGAGAAGTTTTTGTGCCAATCTAATAAAACGAACACAAAATGTTCTCAAACTTTTTCAATTTCCTTCCCCACTTTCTTTTTTTTATTATTTACATAACATAAAATAATGTTCCAACAGCATTGCAGAGAGTTTTTTTAATAAAACCCAATTTATAGAGAACATTCCCTAATGGTTATTTTGAGCATTCTCTAATGCTTCTTTTTATTTTAGAACCATAAAATCTGTTAAATGTTTCTCTTTTCGTAATCATAAACTACATTTAGGGCAATTTCTCGACGACTGACAATTGTGTAATACAGCATTTAATCAAATTTAGAATTTAAGATTACTGTCAAAACGTAATAATGATAGCTTAGAAATATGAATCTGTCACTCTACGGTAAGATAAACGCACAAAGAAGATGCAAATAGTCTTTATTAAATCCACACAAGGGTAAATCCAGGACAGAACAGGCAGGAGCACACGTAGGGACGTAGTAGACAGGACAAACACAGAATGCACAGACTAGGGATTAAATAAATGGGATGACGAGGACAATTAACAAGACACACCTGAACTAAATGACACAATCAACGGGAGACAGAAACTAGGTCACACAGAGCACATGAGGGATGAAAACACATCAAAAACAATCCAGGGGTGTGACAGTTTGCCCCCCCCTCCCAGAAGGCGCAACCTTGCACCGCAGAAACAACAAATGGAGGGACGGAAGGGGGACCTGGGAGGAGGACAAAAGAGTGGCTGTGGGATGGTGGAAGGGGATGGCAAAGGGCTAGCAGGAAGGCAGGCAGACAAATACTGGAGGAGGTTCGGGCGGAGGACGGATACCCGGGAGGAGGACGACAAACAGAGTCCAGGGTGGAGACGACGGAGGGAGGAGCCAGGGAGGAAACAGGAGGAGGCAGGGCAGATTAGATGAAGGGAGGAGCCAGGAGGAACCAGGCGGGACCCAGGCCGCAGCCATGAAGGCGACCCACGATGGAGCTGAGGGAGGGAGGAGCCATGGTGGAGAAAGGACTGACGGCTCCAGGGGGCCGACCAACGGCGGTAGAGCAGGTGGTGGTGAAGCCAGAGGCGGAGACAGAGAGCAAATGGTCAACGACAGACCAAGGTGGAGCCGG